CAAAGAATTGTAAAAATATTCCGATATTAAAATAGGATGAACTTGCCCTGCGTTTTTTTGTTTGTTTTGTTTTTACTGTGCACAGTTCTGATCATTATTATTTCTATTCACTACATAACAAAAACTGAGAAAAAAAGAATTGAATTCAGAAGCTTACATACATTTCTCTTTAGGAACGCGTGATCAGTATACGTAGAGCAGTTCTGCGCAAGCTTGACTTCTCCAAGCACTGAACATTTCAAGCGGGACCCAGATTAATTACACACAGACTGACGTTTTAAAGCTTTTATTATCGCTCATTATGATAATTTCCCACCTGCAGCTAATGAAAGCAACATTTAAGATTAGAATATTACATCAGACCAATAAAAATAATTTTATTACAGAAATGTGGGCTTAATGAAAAGCATGCTTATTACCTGCTTAACGACAGTCATTTTCAAACGGTATTCCAGAGGAACGAGTCTCGTCGGAACGCGCGTTCTGATTCACCGAATGTGACTGTATATCCGAGTTGCTTCACATTCACTTTTGAGGCTACTTCAAAATGATATGGAGACAATCAAAAGAAGTCCAAACTCTTTAAAAACTGCATGAAAGTCATTTACAGAAGCTGTGAATCATGCGTCAGCTTCAGTCTTGTTGCTATAAATCAATGTAATTTGCAAGCACCGCCAGTTAATTTATCACCTACTAGGATGATTACCAGCTTTGAAATTATTCCTGGGGTCACTTGTCCTGAGGATATAAACAGATCCTTAAAATAATTTACTATCAAGAGCCCCCTTTTGGTCACTGGCATCTGGGGAACCATCTTGAATGAGATAAAAACCTGATAATGAACTGAATGCATGGCACCACAGCCAGACTTGTCATACTATTCTGTTGGTAGAGAATTAAAAGCTAATTGATTAGTTTTTCAGATATTTACTCTGACTTACTTTCACTGTAGATTCATTCTCAGGGACACTGGAGTGCCTGTGAGATGATAGCAAGCAGGTGTGCTGCTGGTATGTTGAAATAAGCCACCTCCTTATCAAACAGAAGAAAACAAAGCAAGAAGAAAAAAAAGACTGGAACAAAAAAAAAAAAAAAAAAAAGGTAAACAAACAGCACCGGGACCTTGGTTTAAGACCTGCTTTCAACTTGAGGTTTTAGGATTATCAAAACTTGCACAACAACCAGAAACACACAGCGCCAACAATGTTTTATTCCTGAGAGTAGACAAAACCCAGCAGCTTATTTCTCTGACCTGCATTGTTTTTCCGTCTGAATCATTAAGTCTCCCAGCATTCCTCATTTAAGTCTGTTTTGTAACAACTGAGCAAAACTACACGAGGCTTCAGCTGGGGGATTTGCGAGAGCGGAAAAGACATATTTATACAGAACGCTGGGTTCAGGCTGCGTGCGAACAGAAGGATTAGGGCAACTGAAGTTTTCTAAATTTGTATTTAGTAACCAACTTGCACTTTTATCAGGAGTACAATTGTTGTTGAAAAAGCAAGAAATTGAAAATGTATGAAATGTATATGAAATGTCTGGAAAAATACAAACAACAACAACAACAACAACAAAACAGAAGCAGCATGATACTGCCACCATCGTGTTTTATAGTGTGGATGATGTGCAGCAATGACCAAAATTACTCACACCTCTTGTAGAATTAAAGTATAAAGTAAAACTTTAATTTTATAGTCATGCTTCTTCTGACTGCGGGTAATATTAACTTTTTTAAAAAAAATCTGAAATAGAATCAAGGAAGGGAGCTAAACATTAGGGTGATGGCAAGAGGCATTCCAACCTCGAAGGTTTTTCTTTTCTCTTTACCTGTTATGAGATGCTTGTCTCATTTCATATCAGAAGAAAAAAACAAAAAAAACTTCTTGATTGTATTAAACTGATTTTAAATGAACTTGTCCAGGGCGCATGAATAATTTTGGTCAGACGTGTTTGTCAAAAAAGCTTAATATTTGTTTTATTTGACCAGGCTTTGTCGCTCCCTCTGGGACCAGCATTCATACCATTTTCCTGACTAACTTGTGGCGACTGTTACGTGACAAAACAACACAGCTGAATTAGACAACGATAAATGTCCAATTAAATGGATCTCGTGTGTCTTATTTTATTATAATCTAATATGAACTACAGTGAAACGAGTAGTAATTATTTAAACCATCTACTTAAGATGCATGAATGGCAAAATTTCTCATTAAGCCAATAGATATTTTTCTAAAAGTGAAGATGGATTACTTATGTTAAATTATGGAGAAAAGTTTAGTGAGTCCTCAATGATGTTTCTGGTGAAAATTGGCCACATTTCTCCCAATTAGGCATTTTGAAACTTATAATCTAACACATCTGAGTCAGTTTTTTTATTAACATATTTTGGAATTCATTTTATTTTATTTATTTATTATTTTGCTTTTTGCAGCCACTACTCCACCCATTAGTGGAGTAGTGGCTGGTGATTGTCTTGTCTGCAGGTTCTACTACCTGAGCCAGAGATCTCTGCAACTTCAGGATGAGCCGTGTGGCTGTTTCTCGGTTTAGCGCTAGCTTGGTAGGTTTTATGTGTCATTCTTCTCTTTCCATTTTGACATGATGGGCTAATCAAGTCTCTGTGACATGTTCAAATCTGGAAATATTAATCTGTAACCTAACTCTGCTTCAAACTTTCTCCCTGACCTGTCAGCTATGTTAAACTGTCTTAATGATCCTGGTTGTTCATATAATCTAACAAACCTCTGAGGAAATTCCAGAAGAGATGGATTTTTACTGAGATTAAATTATAGAGAGAGAGGGGATATTTTCAATACAAATGCTTGCAACATTTCCTGGACTTTGGCTGCTGGCACATGGCAGTGGAAGTATCATGCTGCGGAAACCTTTTCGGTTTGAAGACCAGGCATCATTTTCCTTCCACCAAAATAAGGATATGGTGGATGCGTTAGCTTACCGCATAAAAACCCAGTAAAATACAAGGATGTTTAAGGTCTAATCATGACAAAACAGGGAAAAAAAGTCAAGGAAGAAGCAGAAGATATTCAAATAATTTAGAAGAAAGATAAGCAGATTTCATAATGGTGAATCAACGACAGTGAATGTCAAGGGTAAGAAGGGAAGAGGAAAATTAACAACAAAGCAAGAAGGAAGATGGAGAGCCGGCGAACACTCAGATTAATTTGTTCTCGGCCTCGCCATACCTGGGCGCACACGCCGTCGCTCCGCTCAACCAGTCAGTGCTCACCGCTATAAATCTCGGAGTGACATTTTGGGCGGCGAGTGGCGCGTAAACATGGCCGGCTAAATGTCAGCGCGGAGAGCAGACAAGCCTGACTTAGAAAGAGTGAGAGTGGAGGCAGTAATGTCACCACACTTAAACTCACCCGCCATCAGTCTTCATGACATTTAAGAGATATATCCCTGGATGCATCTGGTCGGAGGGGGAAAAAAGTTTGCAGAGAAAGCTGGGAGGAACTGATGAGTCAGGAGTTTTTTTTAAGTCCTGACGTGACCACACACGCGGAGGGGAAACGGTTGTGCTCTCCCTTTTTTTGTGTAATAAATAAATAAATAAATAACTAAATAAATATGATTTAGAAGCTTTCAAACTCAACTAAGACTGAAAGGGAAACCCGTTATTTTATTTTATTTTTCTTTAATGTCCTCTCTAATTTCAAGTTGGGATCACATCTCCTCTCAAAACTTTCCATCACCAATATGATCCAACATGTCTCTCAAGCCATGCCAGTCATATTCTCCTCCTCTATTTCTGGAATCACAGGAATCCAAATGTAAAAAAACAAACAAACAAACAAACAAAAAAAAAAACTGAAGAAATAAAAGCCACTTGATAATTCATCGTTCATCATCCTCTCTCCTCTGATGTTCTTTCTTTAATCTCTCTCGTTGCTGCATGGGGGCTGTATTGATTTCTAAATGAATAATTGAGAAAGATGGTTTAACTGCTCTTTTCAAACGTCCACAGCCTCCTCTTTGATTCACTTAGCCCGCTCCTTCTTGTTTTTCTTTTCCCCGGCTCATGACCTTCCCTCGTTGTGCCATCAAGCTCTCCTCGTTTTCCTCTCTTGCTCCCATTTCTCATTTTCTCCGATCACGCCGCTGATGTGGAAGGTTCCAGGAGGGGGAGAACGGATTCCTCGCTTGGCTAGCCGGTCCATCCAACCTCTGCGTCTCGTCAGTCGGGGAAGAAGACATTGTGTGGTTTCGGAGCTCTGCCGGGAGCCGTGTCCACGTCTGTCTCTGTTTTCAGCATCTTTCTCCTCTCAGACACGTTTCCTGTTTTTAGCTCCTGTCTTTAAGTTGAGTTCTGATCAAGCACCTCCCCAGTGTGTAACTTTTTAAAACTATTTGTATTTTTTTTTTTTTTTTACATATTTGGTAAAGCTTTCATTATGTTTTGACAGAATAATAATCTGTGAAAAAAAAATCAATCTCTTCAGATTCTTCCCAGTTGCCCTACCGCTATGTGCAGAAACACATTGATCCCGATCAGAAGCAACCAATCAGAGCCAGTAGTAGGGTTTTAGAGCTGTCAATCGACCTAATGTACGTGCTGCTCATCCCCTTCCCTGCTACTGCTACAGCTGGTTCCCCACAACGTAGTCTGCCATGAATGCTCAGACTGGTCAGCGTGGTCACTGAATATGGCAGACCAACAGTTTTCCAGTAATGATAACTTGTTTCTCTGCCATTAGCACATTTAGCAGCACATGCACAAGATTGATTGACGTTCCTCCTGACTCTAAATGGTTGTTTCTGATAGGGATCAGAGTATTTCTACACATAGCAGCAGGACAACTTGGAGGAGGTGGAAGAGCTGTTTCTTTCTTTCTTTTTATTTTGTTTTACAGATTATCTGTCTCGTATTATTAAATTAACAAATAGGCTTTAAACCCTCAACCATGAAAGTTCAGGGTGTTTTCAAATAAACTATGTCCCTGCTCTTTCCTGGGAAAAGTTTCTACCTATCTAATCCGTTTTTTTTTTTTTTTGACACCGGCCATTTGGGCTGGTCCGCATTAGGAGGGGAGCCCACAAGCACCATGTAAAATATAACTTATTCATGTATCATTTGCAACCTTAAAGCAAGTCTTACTTTGCTTTTATGCAAATACAGGTAATGGGAAGCTGGTACGCCTCGGTGTTGAGCATGTGTGGCCTTCCGGCTGCACAAGAGTATTGAGATGAAGCTTTGTTTGCTGTAAATAAAAAAACGCTGCGCTCACATGGAGCAAGGAGCAAGTTATCCCGTTACTTCTTCTCGTCTTTTGGCTTAAGTCTGTAAGACAAACAGGGACATTCAAAGAAATAACATTTTCATAAACCGCGGTAGAGGGAGGAAGGTGCTCACCCAGGGAGCCTTTCACGGTTTTAAGTATAATCAAACGCACATCGATGAAAAGATTACCCCACGAACTCGATAAAGCGAAACGCCATCTTGAACGCTCTCTGCCATCTTTGACCTGCGCGGCACAGCTAACTCTGCGTTGTCAAGTGAAAACGTTTCGATGAGCCTCTAATTCTTCTCTCGTCTCACCAACGAGAAGCACATGAAAAGGGGCGAAGGCGCACTGTAACGCAGCGCAACATGAGCGACATCTTCTGTAATGGCAGCTAAACTCTTAAAAGCCCCTCGCCGTGTTTAACTTGACAGTCTCCAGCTAGGATAGCACATCCAAAGCAACATTTCACATAAAGGAACCCCGTTGCATCACAGGAAGGTAACAAGCATCATAAATATGAGAAGAAGAAAAAAGAGAGAAGAAAATCTGACTCACCTTTGATGTTTATTTCCAGAAGAGAACATGTGCACATCAAGTCTTCCATCAAGGCAAACTTTTCAACGCCCTGCCTGTACAAAAACAAGAACTAAAACCCAGTTCAACAGGCCAAAAATTGATTCACTTTCAAATCCTGAGTGTCTTTGAAGCTGGTTGTCTTGTTGTGCAAATGTCTTGATCAGCTTCACTGATGAAATAGGGATCAATTAAAACAGATGTACCGTGATGCAATCGTGACAGCGTGTGCAGAATTAGAAGGAAATTTACACAGTTAGAGAAACTCACCGGAGTAGCTTCTTATATAAAAGTGTCTCATCGAGACTGAAGTGAAAATACAACGAACTCACGTCAGAAATACTCTTGTCATAAACGAGACTCAATGACCAATAATGTTTGTAAACTCTGTGGGATGAAGAAGGAGTCTGGCTACTTCCTGAACGTTGTTGATGGTTTGTTGGTTTGAGTTCTTTTTTATTTTATTTCTATTATGTTTCCAGTTTGTTCATTTGGTCAGAATAAAAGATTTCACTGAGATACATAAATAATCCATTAAAAAACATGAGAAAAAAGGTGCTGCGGTGGCACAGGGGTTGAGCACGGCCCACATGAGGAGGCCTTGGTCCTCGACCCGGCTGTCCCGGGCTCGATCCCCGGCCTGGTGATCTTTGCCACTTGTCTTTCCTCTCTCTCTTTGCCTGCTTTCCTGTCTTAGCACTTTCAGTTAAAGGCCACAAGAGCCAAAAAAATACCTTGAAAAAACTAGAATAATCTTCTTCTGGGTTCTCCTTGTTTTGCTGCTCTCATTATTAATTTCTGAACACAAGCTGACGGAAGAACCAAAGCGCCAGCCGGCCCGGGTTCATTGCTGGAGCAGCGAGCGGTGATTACTGATTTCTCAGTCAGAAAATGACAACGCACCAGCAGGACACCTACCTACTTACTCACCTAATTTCCAGCGACAGGAAGAGCCACGCCGGCCGCACTGATTCGGGGAAAGTGCAGCAGAGCCTTTTGTTTCCAGGGCGGAGTCTGCGAAGCAGCAGCAGAACTGACAGACCCGGGAGAGGGACCTGATCAGGAGACCAGAGGCTCGTCGCTTAAGTGCCGCGATGGCCGCGTTGTTCGCACCTGTCAGCCAGGCAGCGGCACAGATTATTATTATATTGCTGTGAGTTCCTCTCATTGTGAGCCGAGAGAAAGTCGCTCTGCAGGGTTGGAGAAGAGTTTGCAGAGATACTGATGGATTGATATAAGGGCAGAATCACTTTGTCATATTTTTTTTTTCCACAATCACAGACTGCATTCATATTGTTATTTTATTTGCAGAGAAGAGCAACATAAACTACTGTGTAAAGCTGCATTTTTTTTCTTTAAATATTATTTGTTCAACTAAAAACTGGAGACGTTTGGCATACTCAACCCTCCATAACTCTGACACCCCAAACTCTTTCCTGTGAAGCCTTCAGATAGAAATTTGGAGCTTGTTCCATCAAACTGGTTCTGATGCTGAACTGATGTTAGCGTCAGAACCAGCTAGCTACTTACTGCATGTTTTTGTGTGTTTTATCTTCTCAAGCTTTAGCTCTTGTTTCAGAAACAGTTGATTAAACAATTAAAATCAGACCTCTGAAAGGACATCTGCTTTCACTGTAAAAAAAATGTTGGAAATTGTGAGGAAATTTAGCCAAACTGCTAACTAGCTACTTAAGAAAAGCTGCTATCGTTCTAGCTGCTGCAATCAATCCTCCTGCCGCACTGCTAGGAAGGCGGATGCGTGAAATGAGCATGCCCTGTCATCAAATCTCCAAGATTGTGTTTTTGAAAGGTGAAATCAGTCGATATCAGCTGTGACTTACATCTGTGAATCAATGAGTATTTCTTTCTTTTGTTTGTTTGCTTTTGCCCTGTGAAACTCAACACTGCAGCCTCCAGACAGAGGTCATTCGACCGTGTTTCCGGGACCTGCAGAGCTCACTCTAGAGGAACACCTGGACGACACCAGGAATCAGACCTGACTTAACTAACGTGCCTGCCAGTTCTTTAGTTCATTCTTTAAAACACCATTTTTTTTATTATTATTATTTTAGTGAGCCATTTGATGTGCAGCAGACACTGTACCTCTTCTACATGTGTAGATTGATGAACATCAGGGAGGCATGTGACCTCACGTTATTCTCTGCAGGGCTCCCTCGCCCGCGGCCGTGTTTGTGTGTGGGACGGAGCAAAAGCGTTTCTCCTGCTGTCTCCCTCATGTTCCATCACACATCATGTAACAACAGGTGGATGAGTTAAAAAATAAAAATAAAAAAACACCCGACCCCTGCACTCACGCAGTTCCCGGTGTTGTTATTTTGTCCGATGGCTGATGTTTTCAGACACTTCCTGGTGTAACCAGCCTTTCACCTTTTCACATCTGCTCTCCCAGCGTCTCGCACGAACAGAGCCGCTAAGTCTCCTCGTGCTTTCTTCCCAATTCTCACTGCTGGTGAGCCGTTATTAAATTATGTAGCAGCCACTCTAGCTCACCAACACGTACTGCCGTCTCTTTGCCTGGTGGGAAATGCATTGGCTTGACAGTTTAACTCATAGCTGTGTGAAGTGGAGCCACCTCCAATTGGATTTGACGGTTAAGGATCTTTGTGTTTTGGTAGATGTGCGGCTCCACAGAGCAGCAGAGGCAAGCGGCGGCAGGAGGGGCCCGGGGAGGGATAAAAGATTATGTCGTTTTTCTGTCCACTGGAAAGGAGATTACAGAGATAAGTCATTACCAGACAGCTTGTGATCAAAGTCAAACTCTTTCCATTTCATTTAAATCTTCAAATGGCCGGTGATAACGTTTACTGATGGTGGCTTCTTTAACTCGCTACTTTAGATCGATTCTCATCTCAGTTTGAGCGTCTGGTCAAACTGAGTGTTTTTTTCTTTTTCTTTTTTTTTTTTTTTTAAGTCACAAGAAAGAAAGAGAGAAAAAGACATTATCGGCATGGCTGATTACTGCAGTGGAGAACTTCTCATAAGGACCTTAACATGAGTGCCAGAAGACAGCACACAGCCAGCAGCAGAGCTTACTGCATATGTTTAGACGATAAGGGGATACTTTGCATGAACTGTCTCCATGTTGTCAAACTCCATTAATTTCATCCTCTCCGATGAATCAGCAGCATCCTGAATTGATGTGCACTGTACACAACGACTGAATATTCAAACTAAAAGGAAAGGAACTAATTAGTTATGACTGAACCAAAAAAAAAAAAAAAAAGTAGTCCTGCATGGAAGAGTTTTGCCAATGTTTGAAAACATGGTGGTACCGGTAGTGTTATGGTCTGGAAAGTTAGGATTTGAACATTCTGAGATAAATAATATCAGTTTATATAGTTATTGTGTAAATCTTTGGAGTGGTTTTCATTGTGCTTTTCTGTGAGGCTGATTTGATGAGGCTCAACAATTGTGTTTGTATTTCCTCAGTCAAATCTGAAGATTTAAACACAAAAACAAATGTAGAAAAATGTTGCAATATCAGCTGCTTTTGTAAAAGAAAAATGCAGCAACAATCACGGCGAAAGTTTTTTTTGAGCTGTTGTCGTATTTGTATGCAGAGTGGCAGCAGCGCCCAGATGGCCACTTATCACTTTTCTTGGGTCGATACTTGTCTTTGCTGTGAGCTGTGCGGTGGAACGGCTGCAGACTTTACTGTGAATGTTTTCGCAAGTTTTGAAAATCAAGAAAAAATACTGATGTACACTGATTGCACTGAACTCTGATTAATGTCTTTGTTTCAGAAATACTAGTTTTAATGAAACAACCACCTGAGGTGTTTACTTTTTTTTTTTTGGTCCATAAAAGTAAAATATCATTTTTTTTAAATGTTATATCGCTAATGTAAAAAAAAAACAATTGTACATTATTTTCAGTGTTTCCTTGTTTGTTTGTTTGTCTTGAGCCCTGGAAGTGTTTTATAGATTTCATTAAAAAAAACCCAAAACAAACAACAACAAAAAAAACAATTTTCATTCATTTTACAATGATGGCGATGGCTTTGCAGAAAGATAAGCTCGACTGCGGAGCAGTTTTGCTAGATGGGATGTGAAATGTGAAATTTTGATATGTTGTATCTCAGAGCTGCAGGCTGCACAGATGGAGGATGAGGGATGAGAGGGGAGAAGCAAGTATCTTTCAATTTGAGTGCTTGTGGGGAAGTTAAACATGTAGCATTTTATATGAGGAAAATAAGATGGAGTGACGAGCGCACGATGCGTATCAGGTTTGAAATTTCTTCTGCTGCGGACAGAAAGAGGAGAACTGTGAGTGGGAGTAAAGATGAAAGCCGAGGACAACATAAGTCATATTTACCACATACGTCTGATGCATCTGTAATTCGATGCGTCTCATACCGATCTTACTCACAGCGACAGAGGCAAGCATAAAGTTCCACGTCTTGGGAAAAAGTTTTCTGTTAAATTACGAAGAAATAACGAGCAGGAGTTCATTGGCATTGAAGTCGTTTAAGAGATTAAGTGAGAGTGCTAAAATCTTTGTTTAACTCTTAAAGAGGACCAACCCTGAAAAACCCAACATCCATAACAACCTTTCTCTGCAGTGTTTGTAGAAGCATTCATACCTCATGAACACTTCTACGTCGTATTACGTTACAACCATACAACCACGCAGATCTGGACTTTGGCATGTCAACACGTGCTTTCACCCGTTCCATCACAGCTCTGGATGTACGTTGAAGGTTGTCGTCCTGCTTGAATGTCTTTTCCAGCTTTTAGGTCATGTCGAACTCTGCTGAAGGTGGAGAAATGAAAAACGGAAAAAACTGTTGGGTCTGTCGTCATCGGTGGCCATTCTAACTTACCCTTTCCGACTGGCTCCGGTCCATACAACTAGCAGAGAACAAGGAGGAGTAACTGACAGACCCTCCTCCATGCTTTTCTCCCCCATTTTGTGTTGGTCGTTCATTGATTAATCTAAATTGTGTGTGTGTGTGTGTGTGTGTGTGTGTGTGTGTGTGTGTGTGTGTGTGTAGTTGCACCCCGCCTCTAACTCAATGACTGGTGCAGATAAGCACCAGTCCCCCCGGTGACCCTGCATGGATAAGTGGGTTTAGATAATGGAT